ACATTTAATTACCCAACTAGGTAACATCATCGGTGTTAGAAAGGAGGGGAGGAAGAGGTGGTGGTGGTGGTGGAGGAGGAGGAGGAGGAGGGGAGGAAGAAGAGGTGGAGGAAGAGGTGAAGGAGGATTGTGGGGTCCTTGATGCTCTCTGACTGGGTTGTTTCCTTGCAGACATTTAATTACCCAACTAGGTAGTAATATCGGTGTTAGAAAGGAGGGGAGGAAGAGGTGGTGGTGGTGGTGGTGGTGGAGGAGGAGGAGGAGGAGGAGGAGGAGAGGGGAGGGGAGGAAGAGGTGGAGGACTGTGGGGTCCTTGGTGCTTCTCTGAGCTTGGTTGTTTCCTTGCAGACATTTAATTACCCAACTNAGGAGGAGGAGGAGGAGGAGGAGGAGGAGGAGAGGGGAGGAAGAGGTGGAGGAGGACTGTGGGGTCCTTGGTGCTTCTCTGAGCTTGGTTGTTTTCTTGCAGACGTTTCATGACCCAACTAGCTAACACCATCAAAAGGGAGTGAGGTTTGCTCTCTACAAGCAAGCTACTTACATGTGAGAAGAGTAGGCCTTCATCTATCAAATATTCTAGAAGCAGCCATCACTGCTGTTGTTTACTGTTTGATTGAGTTGCTACTTCCTTGATTGGCATATTGTTTACGGCTTGTTTGTTGGTCTAGGATTTCTCTTGGTGTTAATCTCTGTCTGTCTGGGTGTCGCTCGCTCGCGAGGAGGTGTCGTCCTCTTTTTGTTTCCTTTTTGGGGTTACGATTGTCTCGTCTGAAGGTAGATGTAGTTTATCTCTATGTGCCTGTTGATTGCCAATTTGTTTGGATCCCACAGGAATTTTCTAGAGTTTGGGGACTGGGCTTGGTCTAAGGCAGGGGAAGGCAACCTGGGCTCTTTTTTGACTCGTGGACTTCAACTCCCAGAATTCCCGAGCCGGCCACGCTGAGGGGAAAGGGAGAGGTTTCCATGCTGAGCCATGCTGGCTCAGGAATTCTGGGAGTTGAAGTCCACGAGTCATAAAAGGGCCAAGTTGGAAGAGCCCTGGTATAATACTTTACTGAAAATCTACATTGGCACGGAAAAAGCAAAACCACTTCTGATTTTCCCCCTGGAAGGCTTGTTTAGTTAAACGAATGACTCCCTTGTCCCCACCCACCGGGTGTTCACCTTGTCCAATTGTTGTCTTCTAGTTATGGAAACAGCTCACTTATTCTAAGAGACTGGACAGCCATTTGTCTGAAATGGTCTAGGGTTTCCTGCCTGAGCAGGGGATTGGACTAGATGACCTCCAAGGTCCCTTCCAACTCTGTTATTCTGTTCCGTTCCATTCCGTTCCATTCCATTCCATTCCATTCCATTCCATTCTATTCTATTCTATTCTATTCTATTCTATTCTATTCTATTCTATTCTATTCTATTCTATTCATTTGCTGTGGCAAATCTAGACAGCATACTAAAAAGCAGAGACGTCACCCTGTCAACAAAAGTGCGTAGAGTCAAGGCCATGGTTTTCCCAGTTGCAATCTGTGGCTTTGAAAGTCGGACCGTAAGAAAGGCTGAGCGCAAACAATGGAGGCCTTTGAACTCTGGTGCTGGAGAAGACTCCTGCGAGTCCCCTGGACTGCAAGGCGATCCAACCGGTCAGTCCTAGAGGAGATCAACCCTGACTGCTCTTTAGAAGGCCAAATCCTGAAGTGGAAACTCAAGTACTTTGGCCACCTGATGAGAAGGAAGGACTCCCTGGAGAAGAGCCTGATGCTGGGAAAGATGGAGGACAATAGAAGAAGGGGACGACAGAGAAGGAGGTGGCTGGATGGAGTCACTGAAGCAGGAGGCCTGAGCTTCAATGGACTCCAGAAGATGGTAGAGGACAGGAAGGCCTGGAGGGACGTTGTCCATGGGGTCGCGATGGGTCGGACACGACTTCGCAACTAACAACAACAATTCTATTCATCGGACCCTCTTCTGGAACGTGCTGTCTCTGTCCCAGAGTCTCGGCCCTTGCTGGCGCTTCCCAGGCCTACATCTCCCAGAATCCCTCATTCCCATGGAATCCTGGGAGTCGCAGTTCCATCAGTTCTGGCTGTAAAAAGCACCGATGACACGGACCCATCCGGGGCGCCATTTCAGAAGCCAAATGCAAAAATCTCCCGGATCTGCCATCCGGTTAGCAACGTTGCATAGTTTTCTTCTCGGCTTAAGTCAAAAACTCCCTATTAGCATTCGACATGCCACTGCCCGGTTTCCGTAAATGCAGCTCAGATGCTCGATTGCCAGAATCCTGCCCGCTTCGGCGGTTCAGTTCTTGACAAGCTCTCCACGTTAATCTTTAGCTTTTCCAGAACGAACTGACTGCAGGATTTTAATTAACCTGATTTAGTGGCTGAATGCCACACTTGTAAAAATGAACGCCTGGAATCAAGAGTTTATTTATTCTGGCAGGGAACGAGTCTCATTAACTCAACTGAAACGGTTTTACATATTAGAGCAGTGTTTCCGAACCGTGGTCATTTTTGAAGATGGGTCGTCCTCCTCCTCCTCCTCCTCCTCCTCCTCCTCCTCCTCCTCCTCCTCCTCGCAAACCCCACTCCCTTCTAGCACTGATGATGTTACCTAGTTGGGTAATGAAACGTCTGCAAGAAAACCAAACTCAGAGCACCAAGGACCCCCACAACCCTTCCTCCTCCTCCTCCTCCTCCTCCTCCTCCTCCTCCTTGCAAACTCCACTCCCTTCTAGCACTGATGATGTTACCTAGTTGGGTAATGAAACGTCTGCAAGAAAACAACCAAACTCAGAGAGCACCAAGTACCCCACAATCCTCCTCCTCCTCCTAAACCCCACTCCCTTTTAACACTGATGTTACCTAGTTGGGTAATGAAACATCTGCAAGAAAACAAGCAAACTCAGAGAGCACCAAGGACCCCACAATCTTCCTCCTCCTCCTCCTCCTCCTCCTCCTCCTCCTCCTCTCTAGCACTGATGATGTTTCCTAGCTGGCTAATGAAACATCTGCAAGAAAACAACCCAGCTCAGAGACCACCAAGGACCCCTCAGGAAAAGATACCATTGTATTCCCATATCCTGCTAAACAAAGAAGAAAGCAGAGCCTCTTTATAGACCCCTGCATTTGCGGAGTGCATGGTGTGTGTGTGTGTGTGTGTGTGTGTGTGTGTGTGTGTGTGTGTGTGTCTGCCGGCCATTGTTCCTCCCGGCCCCAATTTTGATTAAACCGCGTCCTGAAAAAAAAAACACCACCCCTCGGAGTTGCTATATTTCTTCCCAAAGGCGTTAAGCTGATTTTATTAGCAGAAACTGCCTGGAGAACCCTCAGAGCTGGAGAGAGGCACCTGAAATAAAATAAAAGGTAGGCCAGCAACTCTCCAAAGGCACTCCAGAAATGGCAGAGAGAGCGCGATAAATTAAAATAAATAAATTAAGCCGGGGCTGGCAGGACTCATTATTCTGTAGGTCTAATTGCTCTTCGGGGGGGGGGGGGGGGGAAAATATGAACCCAGTTCCACAGCTTATTGCTTTGAGCAGGACTCTTGGGAACAACTGATTGCTGTTTTGGTGTGTTGCGGTAAAAGTAAAATTCCTTGCTTCCCGCATTTGAAAATGGAAAATGAACAAGGTTAAATAAGAAACGAGGATAATAACGCGGGCCAAGAATTTTGGATACGACATAGATTTAGAAAAATGCCAGAACTGGTGGGAAAGAAATTACAGATTGACAGTGTCAACTTCTTATAAAGAAAACCTATATAAAATCATAATCATCATAATAAAGTTGGAAGGGACCTTGGAGGTCATCTAGTCCAACCCCCTGCTCAGGCAGGAAACCCTATACCATTTTGGACAAATGGCCGTCCGGTCTCTTCTTAAAAACTTCCAGTGTTGGAGCATTCACAGCTTCTGGAGGCAGGTTGTTCCACTGGTTAATTGTTCTCACTGTCAGGAAGTTTCTCCTTAGTTCTAGGTTGCTTCTCTCCTTGGTTAGTTTCCATCTTTTCCTTCTTGTCCTGCCTTCAAGGGCTTTGGAAAATAGCTTGACTCCCTCTTCTTTGGGGCAGCCCCTGAGATACTGGAAGGCTGCTATCCTGTCCCCCCTCGTCCTTCTCTTCGTTAAACTAGACATACCCAATTCCAGCAGCCTTTCCTTATATGTTTTAGCCTCCAGTCCCCTGATCATCTTTGTTGCTCTTCTCTGCCCTCTTTCTAGAGTCTCAACCTCTTTTTTACATCGTGGTGACCAAAACTGGATGCAGTACTCCAAGTGTGGCCTTACCAAGGCCTTGTAAAGTAGTATTAACACTTCACGTGATCTTGATTCTCTCCCTCTGTTAATGCAGCCTAACACTGTGTTGGCTTTTTTGGCAGCTGCAGCACACTGCTGGTTCATACAAGGTTAGCAAAAATGTTTTAAAATATGTCTGATTGATGTTGGAAATGCAAATGTAAGTCAGATACTTATTATCATGTATGGTGGTCACATGTTAAAGCAAAGAGGTGCTCGACAAAAATGCACAACCTGGCTAGAAAAGATGTTGGGAAAGCGTGTAGATTTTAAACCTGTACTTTTTTTTACTAGGTGTAATGCCAGAAAAGATTGATTAAACAAAGTATATACTTGATTTTACACGTGATAACAGCGGCAAGAATCATATTCGCACCATGCTGAAAAAATGAAGAAATACCATCAGAGGAAGAAATAATTGAAAAAAAAATACTAGAATGTGCAGAAATGGACAGACTTACTACGATGTTGAGAGAAACAGAAGAAACAGAATACTTTCAAACTTGGGAGTTATTTTATCAGTGGCTGGAGAAAAGAATAAAGGGTTAGGAATTAAATTTGTGTGGGTGAATGATAAACTCAAGACAACACGTTTGTGGAATAAATACAACTGAATTGTATCAAAAGAAAAATTAATAAAAACTTTACCAAAAAAACCAAACTCATTCCTTTCAGCTTAATAAACCATCCACTCTCTTCCCTTTCCAGGTTATCCCGCAGGATACCCCACAGCAGCCCCCACATACAACCCAAACATCTACACAACCACTGCTCCAGGTTATGCCCCAGGTAAACAGATGTTTTGTTTTTGTATGTGTGGCTGTGTTGGTTTGTTCGTCCTGTCTGTTGTTGTGCAGCTGCCTTTTTCTGTTTGGGTGGTTCTGCTTTTCGGGGGGATCCAGATAGACCCCGACTTAACCACAGTTCATTTAGTGACCGTTCAAAGTTACGACGTCACTGGAAAAAAAAGTGATCTACCACCATTTTTCACACTTAACGACCGCTGGTCACGGGATCAGAATTCGGATGCTTGGCAACTGACTCCTATTTACGACGATCGCAGCCTCCCCGGAAGGGAGGGGGCTGTTCCTATGATCCCCTTTTGCGACCTTCTCACAAGCAAAGTCAACAGGGGGAAGCCAGATTCACTTAACAACCGTGTGAGTAACTTAGCAACTGCGGTGATTCACTTAACGACGGTGGCAAGTAAGGTCATAAAATGGGGCAAAACTCACAGCCAATTTCTCCCTTGCCTGTATTTCATTCGCTCCACGTCGACAACTGTTATCCACATGTCATCCTTAGTTTTTATAAAAGGTACCTACTGAAGACTTTTAGCCCTTTTCTTTAAGCCAGGGGTCTTCAAACTTGGCCCTTTGATGACTTGTGGACTTCAACTCCCAGAATTCCTCAGCCAGCGTGCCTAGCTGAGGAATTCTGGGAGTTGAAGTCCACAAGTCATGAAGGGGCCATAGTTCCCCCATGCTGGCTGAGGAATTGTGGGAGTTGAAGTCCATGAGTCATGAAGGGGCCATAGTTCCCCCATGCTGGCTCAGGAATTCTGGGAGTTGAAGTCCACGAGTCATGAAGGGACCATAGTTCCCCCATGCTGGCTCAGGAATTCTGGGAGTTGAAGTCCACAAGTAATGAGGGTGCCATAGTTCCCCCATGCTGGCTCAGGAATTCTGGGAGTTGAAGTCCACGAGTCATGAAGGGACCATAGTTCCCCCATGCTGGCTCAGGAATTCTGGGAGTTGAAGTCCCCGAGTCATAAAAGGTCCAAGTTTGAAGACCCCTGATTTAAGCTCTCCCGTAAGGTATATCGTCATTAAGAATTGAAATACAGGTAGTCCTCATCTTATGACCACAATTGAGCCCCAAATTTGCGTGGCTTTCTTAAGTGAGTTTTGCCAGCGATCTGTTTTTGCCACCGTTGTTAAGCAAACCACTGCAGTTGAGTGAATCCTGTCGCTAAGCGGATCCGGCTTCCCCCGTTGACTTTGCTTGTCAGAAGGTCACAGAAGGGGATTACGTGAACCCTGCGACAGTCATAAATATGAGTAAAACAGCCATAATTTGATCCCATGACTCTGGGGGAGGCTGCAACGGTCGCTAAGTATGCAAAATGGTCACAAGTCCTTTTTTTCCAGTGCCGTCGTAACTTTGAACGGTCACTAAATGAACTGTTGTAAGTCGAGTATTTCCTGTCAGTAAAGCTTGCGAAAACATCTCAGCTCCCTTTAAATTAAAAAAAAAAATCCTGCAAAATTCAGTTTGGTAACGTAAAAATTAGGAGGAAAACGCCTTGATTTGGACGCTGAGGATTCGTGGCTGGGCCGAGCTTTAAAATAAATTTCCAAATTTAGGACGCAAGAGCTTAGCAACCTCAAATCGCAGCTAGATTTAAAACCTGTCTGGCTGCATGTCAGTCTAACCCCAACACCCACGTCGAAGAGTATTTAAAAATATGAGTATTTAAAAATATGGAGTCTCCCATTGGCTCACAGAGAAGAACACAATTTTGAAAAGACGAGAGTCGATCTTAAGCTACAGAATTTCCTGGCTGAATATATTATCTTTGGGTCTGCTTAGAAAAAAAAGTGGGTTTTTTAGCTTCGGAACGACGCTGTGAGTTAAGGCTGCCAAGGGCTGGTTGCGAGCAGATGTTTCTGTCCTTTAAAATTAGATAGCAAACAGGAGCAGAAAATATTTTTCCGGGCTGTGTTTTCCCACATTCTGGACAGTTGCTCACGATACTCTGAAAACCCTTTAAACGGAGTGGATGTATTTCACTGAGAAAAGCTCATGGTTAGTAAAAAAAAAAAAAATCACTTAAATGTGAGCCAGCATGCTGGCTGAGGAATTCTGGGAGTTGAAGTCCCCGAGTCATGAAGGGGCCATAGTTCCCCCATGCTGGCTCAGGAATTCTGGGAGTTGAAGTCCACGAGTCATGAGGGGGCCAAAGTTTCCCTCATGCTGGCTGAGGAATTCTGGGAGTTGAAGTCCACGAGTCATGAAGGGGCCAAAGTTTTCCCCATGCTGGCTGAGGAATTCTGGGAGTTGAAGTCCACGAGTCATGAAGGGGCCAAAGTTTTCCCCATGCTGGCTGAGGAATTCTGGGAGTTGAAGTCCACGAGTCATGAAGGGGCCAAGTTTGAAGACCCCTGCTTTAGAAGCAGGACCTCAATTCTGGTGGGAGCAAATGAGACGGGGACGATGGGAACGTATTCACCTCTCACCTTGCCGGTCCTTGAGTCTGCTTCTTTCTCCACAGGATACCCCGCTGGAACGCCCTACAAAGTCCCTCCAACTCAGAGTAGTAACGCCCCGCCTCCTTACTCTGCGTCACCCAACCCTTACCAGACGGCAATGTACCCCATTCGTAGTGCCTACCCTCAGCAGAACCTGTACGCCCAGGTGAGTCTGGGACAGCCCCCCCGTCTCTCCGCCCAACAGCGACCGGCAGAGAGAATCTGCAGGTGTTTCAGTAGAAGGGGGTCTTGGTAGCCCCGGGTTGAACTTGCGGGGTCCTCGGTGGTCTCTAGGCTGGGTGGTTTTCTTGCAGACGTTTCATGACCCAACTAGGGAACATCATCAGTGCTAGAAGGGAGGAGGACGAGGACTGTGAGTTCTTTTATACTCTTTAAGCTTGGATGTTTTCTTGCCCCCACCCACCCACGGAGCTGCGTGGCGCCATTGCCGAAGCGTCTCGCTTAGCGTCCTTTCTCCCGCCGCAAACAGGGGGCGTACTACACACAGCCCGTCTACGCAGCTCAGCCTCACGTCATCCATCACACTACGGTGGTGCAGCCCAACAGCATCCCTTCGGCGATTTACCCAGCGCCCGTCGCTGCTCCGAGGACCAACAGCGTAGCCATGGGGATGGTGGCCGGGGCTACCATGGCGATGTCAGCAGGTAAAGGGGCCGAGGCCAAGGAACACACACACACACACACACACACACACACACACACACACGAACATCATCCAACTTTACTTTTCGCTCCCGTCTGCTGGACTCCAGGCCCCATCCTGCCCAGCCAGGTGGACTTTGGAGCCCCGGAGTAGATTAACGCTTCGTAAGCGACGCATTAAATTCATTAGGTGGTCCTTGACTTACGACCACCCTTGAGTCCTGGTTTTCCGTCGCTAAGCAAGATGGTTGTTAAATGGGTTTTGCCCCATTTTAACCACCTTTCCTGCCTCAGTTGTTCAGCAAACTGCTGCAGCTGTTCAGTTAGAAACCCGGTTGTTAAGTGGATGGATCTGCCTTTCCCAATCCTAACTTTTATGTCGCTAAGCGAGACGGTCCTTAAGTGAGTTTTGCCCCGTTGTAGGATCTCCCTTGCTGCTTTTCTTATGGGAATCACTGCAGTTGTTAAGGGAGTAACATGGTTGTTAAGTGAATCCGGCTCCCCTTCCCCCATTGACTTGTCAGACGGTCGCGAAAGGGGATCAGGTGACCCCCCCGGGGACGCTGCGACCCGTCATAAATACGAGTCAGTTGCCCAAGCGTCTGCAATTTGGTCATTTGATGCTGCAACGGCGGTGTGGGAAATGGTCCTAAGTGGCTTTTTTCCAGTGGCGTCGTAAGTTGAAATGGTCACTAAATGAAGTCACTAAATGAAAATAAATGAAGCGGTGCCGAGTTCGACTTTGTCCAAGACTTATCCTGTAGCTCCCAAGTTAAGGCAAGAGCAGAAAAGCAGATTCTGGACCAGGCTGACCCCTCAGTTTGGAGGCACTTCCTGGGGGCCACCCTCGGGCACAACAGTCAGCTGGGGAGCTTTCTCCGGTAGCTCAAGCCAGCGAGCCAAGCTGCACGATGCTTCAGGAAAAGGTTGGAATCTACCGGCGGCCGTTCTAAATTGGTTTTTCCTTCCCCCCCGTCACAGGGACTCTGCTGACGACCCCACAACACACCGCGCTGGGGGCGCATCCCGTCTCAGTGCCAACGTACCGAGCGCAGGGGACCCCCACCTACAGCTATATCCCTCCCCATTGGTAATTCCATTGGCCAGCCCATGTGAGTAGCAGGGCGCCTTCCCCCGGGGGGGGGGCTGGTTGGAGGGAGGACAGGCTCAGAGGAATCGGGGGTCCAGGGGACGTCTAAGACCAAGGGGTCTTCAAACCTGGCCCTTGGATGACTTGTGGACTTCAACTCCCAGAATTCCTCAGCCAGGCACGCGTGCCTGGCTGAGGAATTCTGGGAGTTGAAGTCCACAAGTCATCCAAGGGCCAGGTTTGAAGACCCCTGTCTAAGACCCTCACTGAAGCAGGTAGAAAGAATCACAGAGCTGGAAGGGACCTTGGAGGCCATCTAGTCCAGCCCCCTTCTCCAGCAGGAGACACCAATGACTGAAGAGATGGCTCCTGCCTCTTCTGGGAAACCGCTGCGGAAGGATTCGGTCACAAAATTGGGCCTTTGTGATGCCAGAGCTCCAGCTTGGCTTAGACATTGGAAAAGGGGTCCTTTAGGGTGGTCCTGCAGCGCTGTTGTCCCTTTGCACCCGCTCTCCCTGCGAGGTGGACTTCAAGGGCCAGAAGTCTCTGCGTGCTGTCTAGGAATTCTGGGAGTTGAAGTCCTACCCATGGAAGCCTCTTTTTGTAGCATTTCTCTCTTTCCACGTTGACTGATCTCCCTAGAAACAGGGCTCTCCAGATTTGGCAACGATAAAGACTTGTGGGCTTCAACTCCCAGAATTCCTCAGTCAGCCATGCCGGCTGGGGGATTCTGGGAATTGAAGTCCACAAGTTTTAAAGTTTGCCAAGTTTGGAGAGCCCTGCCCTAGAGCGGTGCTTCCCAACCTGAGCCATTTTAAGATGGGTGGACTTCAACTCCCAGAATACCCCAGGTCCCTTCCAGCTCTTTTCTATTCTTTAGGGTGGATATTTGCCGGGTGGTAAAGTGTCTTAAAGGGTTCTGTCTTTTTATGGAGATTGGGGGAAGAAGAGAAGAGAAGAGAAGAGAAGGAAGGAAAGAAGGAAGGAAGGAAAGGAAGATGGATGGATGGATGGATGGATGGATGGATGGATGGATGGATGGATGGATAGATAGATAGATAGATAGATAGATAGATAGATAGATAGATAGATAGATAGATAGATAGATAGATAGATAGATAGATAGATAGATAGATAGAAAAAGAAAGGAAGATAGAAAGAAAAAGGGAGGGAGGGAGAAGGAGGGAAGGAAGGAAGGAAAAAGAAAAGGGAAGGAGGGAAGAAAGGAAAGGAGAAAGGAAGGAAGGAAAAGGGAGAGGGAGGAAGGAAGGATTGATGGAAGGAGAAGGGAGGGAATGGATGAAGGAAAGAAAGAGGGGAAGAAGAAAGGAGAGATGGAGGAAGGAAGGAAAGAAGAAGGAATGGAAGGAGAGGGAGGGAGGGAGGAAGGAAAGCAGGAAGGGGGAGAGGAGAAGAGGGGAGGGAAGGAAGGAAGAAAGGGAGGGAGAAAGGAAGGAAGGAAGGAAGGAAGAGAATGGAGGAAGGAAGAAGAAGGAAAGTGGAAGAAAGGGAGGGAAAAAGGAAGGAAGGATTGCTGGAAGGCGAAGGGAAGGGGAATAGAGGAAGGAAGAAAGGAAGGAAAGAGAAAGGAGAAGAAGGAATGGAGGAAGACAGGAAGGAAGGGAGAAAGAGGCAGGGGAGGGAAGGAGCGAGTGAGCGAGCGAGGAAGGAGAAAATTCAGGCAATATTTTAGACTAATCGAGCATTTCAAGAGCTCGGAAAAATTACCGAACAGCAAGAGCCTCTTTTAATTCATTTGTGGCTCTTGTGCAGCCCAGGAGAAAAAGCTGAAAAGGAGGGAGAGGGAAATTCGAACCCGGGTCTCAAACTCTGCTCCTTTCCTTCTCTCTCCCCC